ATATAGTCTTTGATTATTGTTATTTTGTCAAACACTCAAACACATTATTTGGACCCTCATTACCACACTATTAGTGCAATTAGGGAATTGATGATCAAAGAATAGAGCTGCAGGGTAACACATTCAAATAAGCTAACGTGTAGTTTTTTGTGCAACCATAACTTTACATGTATATTATGGACATCTTTTATCTTTATGAAGCTTTTTGTCATTTTTGTTAACAATACATACACAGAGACGGAGCTAGTGTGGGGCAGCTGCCCCCACTCCCCCACCCCACCCCACCCCACCCCACCCCTTTATATATATATATATATATATATATATATATATATATATATATATATAGCATTAGATGTTATATAAAATAAATATTTATGTTTAAATTTTTAATAGTTTGAGACTCTGAGTAGCTTAGTTGGTTGAATTTTATTTTTTTATTTTAAGAAAGTGTATGGTCATAGGTCCAAATCTCATTAACAACATTTTTCGTATCTTCACTTGTTTATTTTATCTCTTTCATTTCTTCCCAAGATAAATATTTTTTTAGTCTACTTTTATATTAAAAAATTAAATATTCTTTTAGTCTACTTTTTATGAATCATTCGATTAATGTAATATACAAGTTTATATTATACTTCATTGTATTCGAATTAATTTTAGAAAAACCTAAAGTTGATCTAATTAAAAAAAAAATTAAAACATATTTATGAATATAGTATTATTTAAATTATTTTATCTAATTGATTATGTTTCATATGTTGTCATAAATATTTTTATATTGTCTCCCCACTCAATTATATTTTTGGCTCTAACTCTAACTATCGTGTAATATATCAAAAACATTCTATTGTAATTTATAATGTATTTTGTATTTTAACCTTATTATGACTGTTTGATATTTTGTAACTGACATTTCTAACGTTATTTAAACTTCGCTCCCACTCACAAAATTTTCTAGCTCTGTCACACACACACACACACACACACACACACACACACACACACACACACACACACACACACATACATATATATATATATATATATATATATATATATATATATATATATATATATATATATATATATATATATATATAGAGAGGGGGGGGGGGGGGGGGGAGATGTATTGGATCATTGAGAACAAGTTATTAGGAGAAAATTAATAACCAATTTTAACCTTACATCTGGAAAAAATTGAACACAACAGATCAAATTTAAAAAAACAAATGTGATGGTATTTTCGTAATTATCACCAACTTTACTATGCAAACTTGAACACTAAAATCTGCAATTTTTAAATTTTTTCAGGTTTGCACATTTAGTACTAACATCTTGCATTTTTAGTATTAAAAGATTGCACTTGTAAAAATGCGAAAAGTGCATTGCACTTATGATTTCGATTTTAGAGTTTATGACTGAGTTTTTATTTTATTTGGTTTAGTATATCACTTTTTACGACTTAGGGTCTAGCATTTATGGTTTAGATTTAAAATTTAACCTTTTTATTGATTTTATAAAATTCACCAGAATTGCATATTTAGGTGTTAAAGATTGCATATTTGAGTATTAAAGTTTGCATGGTCATGAGATCGAGCCTCAGTGGAGGCGTTGTTGACTCTTTGTGCTTCATTAGGTTGAGAAAGTATGTTTGAACAGATACTACAATGTAATAGAGTCAGTAGCATTCAAAAAAAAATCCGTCGAATTTTTATAGATGTAAAGCTGAGATTTGTTCAGCTTTGTTCTTAGTTTTCTCCTAAGATCTTAAACCTATATATGTGTGTGTGTGGCTGTGTCTGTGTGTGTGTCTAGCATTAGGTGCGAATGACTCCCATGTGAAAAATGCGCACAATTCGTCCAGATCTACTACTCTTTAAAAAAAAAAATTACATTTCGAATTAACAAAAACTGTGCACTCGGAGGCACAAAAATGTGCACTCGAATGCTAAAATTCTGTACTTGAATGCACAAAGATGTGCATTTGAAGCAATTATAGTGGCAAAAAAGTGAGTTATTCAATTTAAGTGTGTTATTCAATTTAAGTGTTATTGAAGCAATTACCCATACAAATCATTTGTAAATCTCACCAATTTCAATAGAATTTTAGTTATACATTGTTTAAAATAAGGCAAAAGATATAATAAATATTGGTCCATAATTGTACACTTGAAGCCACATAAATATGTACTGGAAGGCACAAATATGTGCAATTTAAGCAATTATGGTACCAAAAAGGGGGAGTTATTAAACGTAAGTGTTATTGAAACAATTACCCTTACAAATCGTTTGTAAATCTCACAAATGCCATTAAAAATTTAATTATACGTTATTGCAAAAGAAGTCAATAAGTATAATAAACATTGACTCATAATTTTGCACTTGAAGGCAAAAAAGTATGCCCTCGAAAGCCAAAATTGTGCACTCAAAAGTCACAAAAATGTGCACTCAAAGGGAGAAACTATGTACTGAGACAAAACATATGCACTCGAAAAAAGGAAAACATGTACTTGAAGAAGAAAAATGTGCACTCGAAGAAGGCAAAATGTACCCTCGAAGAAGACAAAATGTGCACTCGAAGACAAAAAAATCTAAACTTACCTACACAAAATTATAATAATGCCACCGCGCATGTGTGTGTGTTTTTATTTATTTATTTATTTATTATTATTATTTAAAATTCTTCATCATTCTGGACTGTTGATTTGTACAAGATCTATGTTTGAGATTTAACCATATTTGTTACTTAAAGCATTCTTTCGCATTTGGGATGGTTCACGTGCGAAGCTTTCCCCATGTGAAAAATGGGGTTAACGACTCAAATCGAAGGTTTTTTTTTTTTTGTTTTTTTTTTTTTTTGTTTTTTTTTTTGTTTTTGTTTGTTTGTTTGTTTGTTTTTTTTTTTTTTTAAATGCGTTTCCTGGCAACATGGATGCAAATGATCAAGTGTTTCGAACTGAAACACTTTAAGTTTTGAACTTATGCACCTTCAGTTGAAAAATAATGCACCTTAAAAGTTAAACTGCTGCACATTAAACTAGCAAGTGACACACCTTAAACTTTAAATATACGCACCTTAAGCTATAAACATACGCAACTTAAGCTATAAACTTACGTACCTTAAACTTTAAACTATGCACCTTAAGCTATAAACTTAGCACTTTAAGCTTTAAACATACGCACATTAAGCTATAAACTTACACACCTTAAGTTTTAAACTTACGCTCCTTAAGAGTTAAATTGAGGTACCTTAAATAGAAAGTGACGCACCTTAAACTTTAAACATACGCATCTTAAACTATAAACTTACACACCTTAAACTATAAAATTACGCACCTTAAAATCTTAGACTTGCGCACCTTAAGTTGTGACCTTACGCACTTAACGCTATAAACTTATGCACCTAAGCTATAAACTTACACACCTTAAACTGTGACCTTACGCAAAATGACCACCACGTTTTTTTTTTTTACTTGTTCTTCATTTTGGGCTGTTGATTTTAGTAAGATCAAAGGCTTTGATTAATCCACACGTTTCACATAGGAGAAACTTAAGGTGCGTAAGTCTAAAACTTAAGGTGTTGAACATAATGCAAAGATAGTAGATCATAGATGGTTTACTGGAGAAGATGACATCATGTAGATTAGAGACGTTTTATTTATTTATTTATTTATTTATTTAGAGCCGTTAATATGAACAGATTAAAGGCTGAAATTTATTATCACTTTCACACATGAGTCCTTCCACACCAGAGCCTAATCCTATAATGTGGTGTTTGATTGGAGGGAGGGAATTATGCGGGAAAAGAATTACAATTCCATAGGAGATGAATAATGTAGGAAAAAAGGTGGCAATTTAAATTTTAGTGTTTGGTTTGTAGGAATAGAATTAATGGGAATTGAAAGGGAATAAGTAGTATAATGTCCAAAACGCTCATATGTAATAATAATAATAATAATAATAATAATAATAATAATAATAATAATATTATTATTATTATTATTATTATTATTATTATTATTATTATTATTATTATTATTATTATAAATTCTAAATGACCAAATTCAATTTTTGTTGAAATTTTATGTAACAAGTTGTAAATAAATCCTAGAATTGCATAACAAAAATAATAAAATAGATAAGAGAGTTTTGAGAAAACATATTTGATTGAGGTTGAACTACTAATTGACGTTTTGTGTTAAGAGTAGAAGAATAAAACATGATATAGGCCCTGTTTGGTAAAATGGCTGTTAGCTAATAGCTGTTTGCTGTTAGCTGATTGTGTTAATTAGAGAGTATTTAATTAGAGGGTATAAATACTTGATAACATTAGCTGATTGTAGAAAAGTGTTTGGTAAATTAGCTGTTAGCTGATAGCTGTTTGGTATAATTTTTTTTTCTTTCAAAAAGCTAATTGAAAAAGTTGCTAGGAGTAGCTTTTTTAATTTTAGCCTTTTGGAGTTGCAAAAATCTAATTAACCAAACATTTATATTGATATTTTAACTAAATCAAACAATTAATAGTGTTCAAATAAGCCAAAATTAGCCTATAGGCTAATTTTTTACCAAACAGGGCCATAATCGAAAAAGAGAGGTCAAACATCAATTTTAGATTAAAAAAGAAAGGGATAATTTTGTCTCAAATTATTTTATTTCTTCTCAAAATCCATGAAATTGAAATACCAAAGAGGGACATGTGATTCTAATTCATTGAAAATGATAAAATTTTAATTCTGTGAAATTGTAATTTTTTCAAACTAAAAGAATAAATTTGCTTGCCTTCAAAATTATGTAGGAATGAAATTGTAATTCGTTCCAACCAATCGCGATTTACTACTTAAGAGTTGTTGCGATTATGCATTTATCGTATTGGTTTTATATGCATTTCCTTGAAATTGATAAATGAAAAATAGGAATTGTAAATGTGAAATTACCGAAGACCACCCACCCCAAGCATCGCTTCAGTTCGGCTTAAACACGGCTGTTGTTTTGTAGGGTTGCAGCAGATTAACGCCAAACACCTCACTTCCTCTCCTCTCGCTGTCTTTCTGCTCTCTCGGCTCTCGCAGCCCATTAAAGCCCTCCCAACCCCTCCCTGCTCTTCTAATCTCTTATACTTCCCTTTCTCCTCCACCACTCCCTGCTCTGCAACAATGGGCGCTTCGCTTCCTCCTAAGGAGGCCAACCTCTTCAAAGTCATCGTTGTAAGTTTTACGATTCTCTGTTTTCTACGAATTTTTTTATGCTTTTTTTAATTTCTTTGTTGTTTTTTGTTTTGTTTTTACTTATCCGAAGCTCAGGATTTATTTTTTAGTTTAATCTGGCCAGTTAAACCCTAGATTTCATGCTAATGATTGGTTTGATCAGTCTACCTTTCACTATCGCTTTAATTCCCGATTTAGACGCTGCTTATGCAATCTTGTTGTTACTTGAGCTTGAAAGATTTGGATTTTCGACTGTTTTGGTGTAAAAATCTGTCTGCAATAGGAAGATCAGCTGCCACTGAAAAGTCTAGCATTTTTAGTAACATAAGTTAATGCCTTTATCGTTGTACTTTAGCTAATTACTCTATCTACAGTGGTAGTTTTAAGTAGTAAAAGGAAAGGTTCTACCATTAGTCCATTACTTTATTTGGTAAATGTGATTCTTCTAGAGGATGCATTACTCACGAATTGATATTGGCTTCATGATTGATTTTACCCAGCTAGTGTTTCTGTTGTGAACAGGCATGATTAATGCAAATTAGAAGGATGTTTTGCTTACTGAATTTCTGGCTGTATTACACTTGCTATCTTTCCTTTGATTGTCTGAAACTATTGCTAAATGTATTCCATTTTGTATGCAGAAATCATATGAGACAAAACAATATAAGAAAGGGTTAAAAGCTGCTGAAGCTATACTTAAGAAATTTCCTGATCATGGAGGTATGTGGGATTTCATTATCAACCATGAGTTCATGACGCAATGAGTTCTGTGAATATTAACATTTTCTAGTTTTTAGTTTTTAACATTTAGCAATTTAGTGCCATCTTTGACAATGCTCATGAGAGTGTTGGAGTATTAGTTTCTTAACATAAGAATATGCCTTCTTTGTCACTTCCTGCAAAATTTTTACAATTTTCTGTTTCCAACTTGTGCCTTCATGGCCACCAGAAACTTTGGCAATGAAAGGATTGACATTAAATTGTATGGGTCGCAAGTCAGAAGCATATGATCTTGTTCGGCTTGGATTGAAGGTATTATGCTTCTTCACTATCCATTTATATTTATTTTCCATTTTTGGTTAATTGTGGACTACTACCTCCCTATTTTCTATATAATGAATCATCACAATTAACTGCTCTTCTCCCTTTGCAGAATGACCTTAAGAGCCATGTTTGCTGGCATGTTTATGGTCTCCTATACAGGTCAGATAGAGAATACAGGGAAGCTATAAAGTGCTATAGAAATGCACTTAGAATTGATCCTGACAACATAGAGATATTGCGTGACTTATCTCTTTTACAGGTGAAGATTTTCACCTTTTAAAGTTCTGATTGCTCTCCTTGAGTTTGCCTAAAATTGCAAAATGCTTCTCAAAGAGGCTGAGTATGTGCTGAAAGTCACAAAATGTATTATCACTTGTGTGCCTAAAATCATAAAATGTATATCAATGGAGTAGAGCATGAAAACTTTATTAGTTCATCCAGTAACACTGTTGGTGTTTTGATTGGTTGATGCACAATGACTAAATTAACTGAAAATGACAGAAGAAAAATGGAAATTTTTATGGGAGATAATGAAAGGATGGTAAACTGTTCCACTGTGTCTCGGTGAATAGGGTTGCGTGATAGCTTGCAGTTGTATCTATAGTTATTGTAATTTGCCTCTTACATTTCTCAGGATCTGTTTGACTATTCAAGTTGTGCTGGTGATTCTGTTTTTTTCATTTACTTTTTTTTTTTCCATAATGTTTTTGCCAGAATGCCAGAAGTTGCTTGTTGCAGTTTATTAAATTTATAAGTAATGATTCTTGATCAATATCCTTGTAGACAACGAGACATCTCTTTATAATCTAATTTGTTCTCTTCTTTTCATGTCTATCTATTCACTCGGATTATTTTAAGAAATAATATTTGCATTTCTATGCTTCAGTATTCTCCATCCTATACATTTCATTAATGTTCCTGTCAGTTATGGTCTTTCATTTATAAGCATTATCCTCTATTTTCATGGTGTGAATCTAATGAATTATTATTATTTTCTTTTTTATTTTATCCTATTAATGTTTACAGGCACAAATGCGTGACTTGATAGGCTTTGTGGAAACAAGACTACAACTGCTGACATTGAAGCCAAATCACCGTATGAATTGGATTGGCTTTGCTGTTGCTCATCATTTGAACTCAAAGTATGCTTTCCTTTCACTTCATTGTATTAGTTTGCAATTTCAATTACAAATTTTATGCAATTCTGAAATTAGTTTGGATTGTTGGTTTCCATTAAATTAGCTATTTTATCTTGTTGTATAGATGTATGCTATAATATTGATTGAGGTATAGTATTTATTATGTGGGAAGCATAAATATTTTATGATGAAATGCTTAGTTGATTTTCTGTTTCAGTAAGATGATTAGACGGAATATCCTCTGTTCACTAAAAGGAATTGGGCTTTATTGGTTGAAACTGACCCATTTTTGTCTCATGAAGTTCTTCTTTTGCTGTATTCCAGTGGATCAAAAGCTGTTGATATCCTTGAGGCATATGAAGGGACTCTAGAGGATGATTACCCTCCAGAAAATGAACGTTGTGAGCATGGGGAAATGCTTTTATATAAGGTAATATTGTACATTATGAATATCTATTTTTCACAGCTGAAGGAGACATTTTTGTTTTGGCTTGGTAGGTTTTCCTCTCACATGACAACTTAGGGTGTATGTTAATGTATAGGCATATAGCTCAAAACTTGTCTTGGATTAGAGAATAACTCCGTTGTGTAGTTGAATTAACTCTTTATTGTTCCCGTTTTGAATGTCCTATGAATCTTTAGTTTTCATTCTGATGGTGTGATTTAGCCTGTTTGTGAAACATGTAACAGCTGATTCAGTTGTTGCTAGTTAGTCCCTCTCTCAATGTACTGTTCAACTTTTGATTACATGTTTCAAGTTATACTTTTCCTAATATTTTGATGTTGCATGCAACAATTTTTTGAATTTTTTCCCAGATCTCTTTGTTAGAGGAATGTGGATCTCTTGAGAGGGCTCTTGAAGAATTACGCAAGAAAGAATATAAAATTGTAAGTTTCAGTTTGAAATTTATTTGGATATATAGATGGCAATATAAAATTTGAATTTTGATAGTACATTTACACCTTGAAATGGTTCTGATGCAACAAATACCACCTTAGGTTGATAAACTAGGATATAAGGAACAAGAGGTTTGCCTTCTTCTGAAGCTTCGCCACTTTGAAGAAGGTGAAAGATTGTATAAGGTGTTGCTCTCTATGAACCCTGACAATTACAGGTATATACAATTATCCACCTTTCTTTTTATTCCTTGTCTGCAATAGTTCTTGTTTTTGAAGTGATACAGTGTTACTTATCAGGTTAAGATCAGTTTATGATGTAACCACTTTTGCATCAATTCCACATTTTGACCAATATAATTGTGATTCTGCTTTAAAAATGGAGAAGAGTGGTCCCCAACTGTTGAATTTTGGATAAAAATTATCCATTCATTAGGGTTTTGTTAATGAAAATACCATTTTCATCCAATTTCTATTAGTTTGAGGACTGTTTGTGTCCAGGTCTAATGGTTACAGACTATTCTTAATACAGTTTTAGCCCCCAAATTATCAAAATAAATTCATTCTGTGTTTCATCATTTCTGTTTACCTTTGGGGTTATTTATTTTGGGGGCGGGGGCGGGGGGTGTCAGAGGAGAGGAGGGTAGTAGATTAAAACACACATTGTCATTTGCATTCGTTGAAAGTTGTGAAGTGTGTGCGTATAATGTTTTTGCTTTTAGATACTATGAGGGGTTACAAAGATGCCTTGGACTTTACTCAGAAGATGGCAAGTATTCTTCTGATGAAATTGATCGTTTAGCAGCTACATATGAATCTCTTGCTCAGCAATATCCTATATCATCTGCAGTAAAGGTGAAGCATTACTTTTCATGCCATCTCACTGTTGCCTTCTAATATTTCCTCTTCTGTCTCTATAATCTGCATCCATGTTATATTGTATTGTGCTGTAGGAAGTATAAAAACATGTCTGCTTTTGTGGGTTTCTGCATGTTTTTAAATGACTGATAAATACTTTCCAGTTCTATTTCGTGGGTCATGACTCGTAAATCTTTGGTTGGCATGTGAAGTTAGTAACTTTTCTAACTTTAACATGGTCAAACATATGATAATCTTTTGACAAGTTCGATAACATATCAGTTTTGTAACACTTACTAGAATTCATATTATTCTGTAAGTTTTTTGTTTTCTTTTGAACTATTATAACCTGTACATGTTTTATTTTTTGTGATATTCCCCATTTTACAGAGAATTCCTCTTGATTTTCTGTGTGGTGAAAAATTTCGGGAAGCAGCAGATAACTATATGAGACCTCTCCTGACTAAAGTATGCTTTGATTTTCAGTATATGAGATTGGTTAATGCTAAAATGGATTGCAGAGTGGGACTGACTTGAATTTCCTTTTTTGCATTTCTAGGGAGTTCCTTCATTGTTTTCTGATCTATCTTCTCTTTATGATCTCCCTGAAAAGGTCAGTGCAAGTGTTCCAAGCTGATTTGGAATTTGCAGAAATAATTTAGAGTTATGACCTCCCTGTTGGTCTTTCTTCCATTTGTTGTTTTTATCAGTTTTACTTAATAAGTTTCTTTACAGGCAGATATTCTGGAGCAGTTGGTTCTGAAGTTGGAGCAGTCAATTAGGACAATTGGTGGATATCCTGGGAGGTAATGCACCTTTCTATGATCAGTGTATCTGTGATGAAAACTGTGAAGATTTCATAAAATGTGAGGTTCAGTATGCAATAAGCATGCATGTGTCTATTACTTTTGTTTGATATGTTTTTCTAATTTGTTATTACAATGCCCTGTGGTAACATTTTGCTTGTAGTATATTACAGAAAAATTCCATAATCTGGTAGGTTTCAATTTTATAGTGTCATAGTGTGTGCAGAATGTTTTTCTTTTGAACTCACAGCTAGGTTCTTGCATTCTGAACTGTTTGCAGTGTGGATAAAGAACCTCCTTCAACACTTATGTGGACTTTATTTTATCTGGCTCAGGTTCGCCACCATCTTAGCTGTATTAATGTTTTATCTGTTGCATTTGGATTTTTCTATAGTCTCCTTTTCCCCCACTGAATTTGTTGAAGAAAATTTTATACTGCAGCATTATGATAGACGTGGTCAATATGATCTCGCTTTGTTAAAAATTGATGAGGCCATTGAACACACTCCAACTGTAATTGATTTATATTTAGTCAAGGTATGTTTACCACATGCACTTGGTATGATTTATGTTCTATCCTATTATTTTCTCCTGACAAACCACTGCTTCTTTTGGCTTCCATTTATGAATGCTGGAGTTTTTTTTTTTTTTTTTTTCAACTTTGCAATACATAATGCAGTTAAGTGATTTTCCTGCTGCATTCACATAACTTGCAGTGGAAAATGTCTCCAACTTTCTCTTTGCTTTAATCTTTTGAAGAGTTATTACTATATTCATTTGCTCTTGACTTAAGACAAAAAACATACCTATGAAGTCATATCTCCTTTAGAGATATTAATTAATTGTGTTACTAGTTTTGTCGTTGGTCATAATGAATGTGCTTGGGATTTTCCTACCCAACACTTTGCCATTCTATTCACTGAAAAGGAAAGCTTAAGTGAACTCACCAACAACTACACTCACATTTAAACTCTATACAATTAGTCATTGTTCTTGGTAATTCACTCCATTGATTTTGAGTTCTGAATTTTAGTTGTTTGTGACAAGGTATTTACCATATTTGGAACCAACATGATCTTGCTAATCTGTTAAATATTTATATATTACTGACACGCTGAAGGTGAACTCTACTGCAATATGATTATATGGAAGTCACTACTTTCTGCTTTGTAATTCATAATTTTCTTTCTAAAGTGGCTTCAATATCTGTAGGGTTGCAATTATTTGCTCTTCTTTCTAGTATCTAGTTCCTTGTCACATTTATGTGGTTTTCTCTTTATTTCAGAGCCGAATATTAAAGCATGCTGGTGACTTGGCAGCAGCGGCTGCATTGGCTGATGAAGCCAGGTGTCTGGATCTTGCAGATCGCTATATTAATAGTGAATGCGTGAAGCGTATGTTGCAGGCTGATCAGGTTTTAGTCTTTAGAGACTTCTTTTTCTTAGCTGCAGAACTCTCTCATATGTAATCTGGCATTGGTTTGGTTTCTATAATTCACCATGCTTTCTCTCTTGGCACTGGGTTGAAGGTGACATTGGCTGAAAAGACAGCAGTCTTGTTCACAAAAGATGGGGATCAGCACAATAATCTTTATGATATGCAGTGCATGTGGTGTGTTTTCTTTTACCTGAATACAATAATGAGTTTCTTTAGGTTTTGGAAGCTTTGTTACAGCTACTATATGTTGAACTTTTCCAAGGTATGAGCTAGCATCTGGGGAAAGTTATCTGCGCCAAGGGGACCTGGGGCGAGCTTTGAAGAAATTCCTAGCAGTGGAAAAGCATTACTCAGATATCACTGAGGACCAATTTGATTTTCATTCCTATTGCTTAAGGAAAATGACTCTTAGAACTTATGTGGAAATGCTGAAGTTTCAAGATCGACTCCATTCATACCCGTATTTTCATAAAGCAGCTGCTGGTGCGATAAGGTAGATGCTTCTCGTCATGCTTTTGCAGTTTGAACATTTGATGTGAATCCTCTAGGTTTTAATTGCCCCTGTTTTGATGTCAGTAAACTTTTATCTTATGAATTTCTATTCTCAGTCTTAAGTGATTCATTTTAGGAAACCCCACTATCATACCCACATTCGGGTGACTAAAGTAAAGTGATCTTGTTGATAAGTGCCCACCAACACTCTGCTTTCTGTTTGCAAAATTTCCAAGTATTCTGCTTTTGAACTTGTAATAGCTATGTTGTGCAGTTCTATTCTCATGATGTATGCATTTTTGTTATGTTCATATAGATGCTACTTGAGGCTGTATGATTCTCCTTTGAAATCAGCAGCTGAAGAAGATGATGAAATGTCAAAGCTGCCTGCATCTCAGAAAAAGAAACTAAGACAAAAACAGAGGAAAGCTGAAGCCCGAGCTAAGAAAGTATTTACATGAGCTCCCTGTTGATTTTGACAGAATTTAGTTGTCTGCAGGTTCAATTTAATCACTTTCCATGCTTTTAGGAGGCAGAGGTGAAAAATGAGGAATCAAGTGCAACAGGTGTATCTAGGTTAGGAAAACGTCATGTGAAGGCAGTTGATCCTGATCCACATGGAGAAAAATTGTTGCAGGTATCCTAATCTGTCATTTTTAACCTATTTGCTTTGAGTTAATTACTGTACTTAATTTCAGTTTTTCATCTTTATTCTTTTTGCTGGATGAGATCTTTTCATCTTAGAGACTTTGCTATTTAGGTTGAAGATCCTCTGGTGGAAGCTACGAAGTACTTGAAGCTTCTTCAAAAACACTCTCCTGATTGCTTGGAGACACATTTGCTTTCTTTTGAAGTAAACATGAGGAAGCAGAAAATTCTGCTTGCTTTGCAGGTAGTTATCCTAAAATTTTGTTATTTTGGAAGTCCAAACTGGGTTGTCATACTTGTTGACTGTTTGTAATCATTTTATTAGAATGCTGGTTAGGTGGGAAACAGTCTTTTTTTTTTTCATCATTTAAAAAAAATAAAATAAATTAAAGATATGTTAGCATTTGTGTATTGAAGTGAGATCACAAGTTAAATTTCATTATTTATTCCTGCAGGCTGTAAAACATCTAGTGAGGTTGGATGCAGATAGTCCTGATTCACATCGCTGCATGGTATGTAGTTTCTATTTCAACAAATAGAATACAGAGTTCATGTCTTAGATGTTTTTATAACAACATTCTTATGTTTTTGTATACTGTAATAGTGAGCTATTGTTGCTTTTTGTAGATAAAATTCTTCCATAAGGTGGGATCCTTGGCTGCTCCAGTTACAGATTCTGAGAAACTTGTATGGGATGTTTTGGAAGCAGAGCGACCTACCTTCAGGTTCTTTTATCTTCATTGATTTCTTTTCTATTCTGAAATTTTATACTATTAGATACTGGATGTTAGGATCATATGATAATTGCAACCCGTAAAAGAAAGTAAGAAGCAGTTAAAAATATTGAGAACAAGAGCTCTAGAGACCTCACAACACTTATGTGGTTTGGTCAATATGCCCAACGTCAACACCTCCACCTCCACGGGTGAAGCAGTAGCAATTTTACTACTAAAAGTGAAAAATCTCAAGAGCCCCAATGCATGAAAAATAAATAAATAAATGAAAGAGAAATGTAAATGTCAGAAAGAAAGCTCAAAGGCTAGATAGGATACTCCTTAGTATATTATTGTGATTTCATGCTCAGCTATTTATTTGTTCCCTTTGATTTTGTAGTCTGTTGCATGAGAAGTCTCTAATTGATGCAAACAACATATTCCTTGAAAAAAATAGAGGTAATTGTTTGTCTTTCATGTATGATATCTATATGAATCTTCTACATATATGGTGCATGCCCTTACCCTTTTAAGCGTTAATGCGATTTTGTGGTGTCTTTACAGATTCATTGATGCATAGGGCTGCTGCAGCGGAGTTGCTACATGTCCTAGAGCCAAACAAGAAAGCAGATGCTGTCAAATTAATTGAAGACTTTGCAAATGATTCAGCGTCAATGTACGAGCTTATGGCTATTAATTTTGGTCATGACAAAATTATACTTAATTTCCTACATACAATTATAAAATCTTGAGCCTTTTGTGTACTTCCTGAATTAGAAATGGAGCACAAGGATCATTAAGCAAATGGAAGCTGAAGGAGTGCATTACTGTTCACAAATGTCTAGATACAGCTTTGGAAGATCATGAAGCTGCATTGAGTAAGTCTTTTGCCCGATCTTATGTTCATGAATGAAGTGTTTAATTATTACTCAGTAGTATTTTTGTTTTAGCCCAATGGCAAAAGATAAGATTTATCGAATTGGGATTAGTTGGGGTCTTAATCTGAGTAGTCCTAACGGTATATCTACTGACTTTTGCAGGATGGAAGGAGCGTTGTGCTGACTACTTCCCATACTCTACATACTTTGGAGGTTCTCGCAGCTCAGCAACCATCGGTTTATCCCACCACCTGATAAGACAGACTTCTGAAAATGGGGTAGCCAGCCTAAGTACTGATCAAGATAATGCAGCTTCCGTTTCATCAAATGGGAGATTACAGAAACTGGAAGGATTCAAAGATCTTGTCATCTAATTATACCCCACTCAAACTGAGCTAACACTTGTCAGGAAGAATACTAGGCTGAAGAAAAGACTATGGTGGTGTAGAACCTAAGATACATAGTACCATATGGAAACAGAAAAAAAATTCAGAGGTGAGATTTAAGACCTTCACAGTGGGGGCTTATTAGAGAAACCAGATGTATTGTAGCTCCTGGACTCCATTTTCATATTTGCTGCTGTTCTACGTCAGTCTGGGTGCTTTCTTTTCTGACTGTATATACGCTCCAGTGTGCTGTGAGTAGTCACATTCTTTAGTTGCTGAAATGCTGCATTTTCATATTTGCTGCCGTCGTAACATTTTTGGACGACGGAGTCCTTTAAAGTATAGGGGTTTATGCCCCTGCCTACCTTCAGCTTAGAACAATCACCCATTTTTCTTGAGCATGTTGTATTTTTTCCTTTTCCATTTCGTGGGCCATTATTTGGTGTACTAGTATTTTACGTGGGAATTTTTTTCTTTCATTATATATTTGTATGAAAAAAAAATACAGTGATTTAATGATGTCTTGTTTGTTCTTTTTCCGCTGAAACAATATCAGCAAGTTTTATGTATGTATGCACTTCATTTTTGTCTCCAGTTTTACTGCTTTTTTTTTTTTTTTTTTTAAAGCATGATGATAGTTGTAGCATAAACTGTGATATAATTTGCAGTAGGTATACCATGGACTTGGGTCAACCTTGTAAGGTGGACATTGGTTCAAAATACACAATTTACCTATTTAGTATGTAAAATTGTGAACATTTAGTTTGTAAATTGTGAACGTTTAGTATGTAAATTGTGTATTTTTAGATTTGGGTACACTTTGTAAGGTGGACCTTGATCCATAGAATAATTTGCCTATAATTGGACTATGGGTTGAAGCTTATAAACGAAAGATAGAGATTCGTTCAAACGAATATAAACTAGACATGTGAATATGACAACTAATGACTATGTGTGACTTTGGAGACTTGGGCGTGGATGACCTTAGCTTTAGGTGTGGCGAGCGACTGAAAGTGACTCCTTTTGTTAAGGACCGAATAATTTGAGTTCTGGTGGTGACTAAATGAGCTTTAGGCTGGAGTTTGAACTTGAGTGAGCTGATATATTAAAAGTTAATGGATTGGAGCAAGTGTTGGGATACAAATAATTAGAAACCCATTCATTATGTGGTCAAAATTCATCCTTCTTGTCTGTGATGGCAAGTCTCGTCTGTGATGGCAAGTTTTGTTTCTCTGCCCATTAATGTGCATTCATCTACCTTGTATTTAAGTTTTATTGCTCGCGTAGTGATCTTCCTTTCCGGAGTCAGTTGTGAGGCTTTTAATGTGAAGCTACTTACTCCTTTTGTTGTATTTTTGTTCTTGCCCAGTTGTTGTTGGTGTTCGCCCTATCACCAGTCTCCAGTTTTATCTCCTTTTCCTGTTTCCCTAGTTTCCTTGGTGTGGTGTGGTCATGGCATCCGGAAGCAGAGGCAAATAACCAATGTGGTCAAGGGAGGATGTCCAGAACAAGCAAGGCAATGAAGTTGATGATATTTCTATTGCGGTGGAGGAAATACTAAGCCTACCTGAGGAGGAGTCATTCACATTGGTGGGTACGTTCTTGACACACAAAACCATAAAGCTCAACTACATGCAGGAAACATTGGCTGCGGTTTGGAGACCAGAGAGTGGTATGATGGTGAAGGAGGTTGCCCCTAATCTCTACCTGTTCGAGTTTTTTCGAAAGAAGGACATGATGAGGATACTGGAGAATGGCCCGTGATCTTACGATCAAAACCTTCTTGTTCTTAAGGTTCTGGGGGAAAGAGAATCCCCGTTTGATGTTGATCTGAGCACAGCCGAGTTTTGGGTGCAAATACACAAAATACCATGTCAACTGACATCTCCGAGGAACGCTGAAGCGATAGGGAAGCACCTAGGAGTGTTCATAAAAGTCTATACCTCCAACTTTGATGGATCGTGGAACGTGTTCATAAGGATCAGAGTGCGTATTGATATCACTAAGCCCCTGAAGAAAGGAGTAAGAATCCAACCGTCATCTGGAGACAGCATATGGCTTGAATGCAAATATGAGAGGCTTTCGACCTTTTGTTTCATATGCGGTCGGCTTGGACATGGAGAACTACATTGCCCAGACGAGTTTGATGAGGATGGAAAAGAGGAGGTGAAAGCTTATGGTCCCGAGTTGAGAGCCATGGGGAGAAGGTCCCTACCCTCTGGTACTCAGTGGCTCGTGAAAGAAAGGCCGGTGAGGAGTACGGCGGGAGAGGAAATCCGCACCGGCAAACAACAACAGATGGGGAGTTCGAGTGACGAGGTACGAGGAGGAGTGCAATTACCCGGACAAATGCTTTACCCAGAAGATAATGCTCAGATTGAAACCCAGTATATGCAGAATACCGGCGTTAGCAGTGCTGCATGCGAAACATTAAATGCTGAGACAGTTGCTTTTGACACGCCACATCAAAGTCAATCAGTAGGGCCTGGAGTGGGCTTTTTGATTGCAGAGCAAAAGCGAAGGAAGAGAGACATTGCACTAGCTGGGCTTAATTCCTATGGGCTGGTTGGTACTGAAGGTGGATACCCTATTGATGTGGTGGGTATGGTTTTGGATCAGTGTGAGGATGAAATGAACCAAAAAATCTTGTTAGAGGCGGGTCCGGGATCTCAGGCCTGCCTAGATCAATGTAAACCTTAGTTTGGAACTGCCGTGGGCTGGGCAAACCCACGTCAGTTCAAGTTTTAGTGGACCTCATCCACCTTAAGAAGCCAGACATTGTGATTTTAATTGAAACTTTTGTGGGCCATAGAAAGCTTGAGCCCATTAAGAGGAGAATTGGTTTTGAGGGCCTGTTAGTTGTGGATAGTAGGGGGCATAGTGGCGGGCTAGCTTGCCTTTGGAGGGTGAGCCCACAGGTGGAGATTAAGAGCTATTCAGACAGACATATCGATGCTTTTGTTGTCGAAGAGGATGGTCGAGGAAGTGGCGTTTAACTGGTTTCTATGGCAAATCGGACAGAAATAACAGGCATATTGGCTGGAATCTTCTCAAGGAGCTCTCCACGCAACATAACCTTCCATGGGCTGTTGTTGGAGACTTTAACGACATCATGCATGATGATGAGAAGAAAGGTGGTAATCCTCAACCTAGATGGCTCATGAACGGTTTCGGGAAGCTATGGAGGAGAGTGGTCTGACTAATTTCAAATTCGATGGCCACCAGTTTACTTGGGAGAAATCTCGGGGGAAACCGGGATGGATTCAAGCAAAGTTGGATAGAATTTTGGTCTTGGACGCTTGGAGGGATCTGTTTCAAGGAGCGACAACGTCTTCCATCATAACTTCGCGTAGTGACCACATGCCTCTATTCATCCAGACGGAGAGTCAAGTGTTTAGCCAGTGCAGGAGGCGGTTTAAATTTGAAAATCTGTGGCTGAAGGAAGGACAGTGTAGAGATGTGGTGATTCAAAGCTGGAATTCCACCCGAGGTCTGAAATTGCTAGAGCGGTTCGAAATCTGTGGTAAATCTGTCTGGTGATGGGGGAGACATTTGACTAAAGATTTCCAGAATAGAGTGGATTATTGGAGGAGAAGGATGGAGTCATTGAAGGGTAGGATGGATGAATGGAGTTGCAGCAGATTCATCGAAGCCCAGCATAATCACCTGCGAGCTCTTGACCAGCAAAATAGCTACTGGAAGCAGAGATCAAAAATCTTTTGGCTCAAAGATGGTGACCAAAACACATCTTTCTTCCACAATGCCGTGAGGAGAAGGAGGCAAGCAAACCAAATCTGACGACTTAAGCGGATTGATGGTCATGGGCTGAGAAAGGTAATGACTTAAACAAACTTATTCTTGACTATTTTGGTGATCTGTTTAAAGACTCTTCCCATTCCCTGGACCCTGTGCTAGTTTGTCTTCGAAGAAAAATTTCTGATATTCAGAATGCCTTGCTAATTAGGAAGTTTAGTAGTGAGGAAGTGAGAAAAGCATTATTTGAGATGAAAAGTGATAAGTCCCCGGGTCCAGATGGGTTAACACCGGGGTTTTTCCAATGTTACTGGGATATTGTGGGGGGGGGGGGGGGGGGGGGGGGATGTAGTGAATTTTTGTGAGGAGTTTAGAGTTACCAAGGCTCTTCCTATAGACAGTAACAATACCCAGATTGTGTTAATTCCTAAGCTTTCCAATCCTGTGTCTATGGCAGACCTGAGACCCATTTCCCTTTGCAATGTTGTGTACAAAATCTTAGCCAAATCTCTAGCCAACAGCTTAAAGCCGCTCCTAAATTCCCTCATCAACAACACCCAATGTGCCTTTGTTCCGGGGAGACTTATATCAGACAACTTCCTCCTTGCCTATGAAATTAATCATTTCCTTAACAGGAAAACCCAAGGGAATAAGGGATGGGTGGGCATGAAAATTGACATGAGTAAGGCTTATGATAGGGTGAGTTGGGATTTGGTGGAGGGTATTCTTTGTAAGATGGGGTTCTGCCAGGAGTTTGTGGAGATGATCTCGGGGTGTATAAGGTCTGTGAAGTTTTCAGTCTTGCAAGATGGACACGAATTAGGCCCGATCATTCCGGAAAGAGGGCTCAGACAAGGGGACCCACTCTCCCCTTATCTATTTATCATTATGATGGAAGGTTTGTCAGCGATGATTAGTAGAGAGGAAGAACACGGGAACTTACATGGCATATCCATTGCTAGAGGGACACCGCAAATTACCCACCTATTCTTCGCGGATGATTGTATGGTGTATTACAGAGCTAATGCTTATGAGGCTAATGTGTTTAAGGCTATCTTGGAGGAATTCTCAGCAGCTTCTGGACAACAAGTTAATTTTGGCAAGTCTGACCTTACCTTTAGCAGGAATGTGGATGAGATAACTAGAGAGGTGTTGACAGAGATCATGGGCATTGAGGAAGGAAATCAGAGAGGAAAGTATCTTGGTCTACCCTCACTTATTGGTAGAAGGAAAAATGAGGTGTTAGGTTACATCAAGGATAAGATTCTTAGCAGGATAAGAAATTGGAACAATAGATTCCTGTCTCGGGCTGGGAGAGAAGTGCTAATTAAGAATGTTCTCCAAGCTGTTCCAACGTATGCAATGAGTACCTTCCTGTTACCTAAGGACCTCTGTAGGAACATTGAAACTTCTCTTAACAGGTTTTGGTGGAAAGGGAACATTGAGACAAGTGGTGGCATAAAATGGAGACGGTGGAAGGATCTATGTAAACCCAAATCCTGTGGGGGCATGGGATTTCGGAGGATGAGAGAGTTTAACTTAGCCTTATTAGGCAAACAAGGTTAGAGGTTTATTCAGCACCCAAATTCCCTTGTCACGAGAGTTTTTAAAGCAAAATACTTCAGGCAGTGTTCCTTCCTTGAAGCCAAATTGGGGTCCAATCCTTCCTTCCTTTGGAGAAGTATTATGGAATCTCAAGGTGTATTAAAAGATAACTGCAAATGGAGAGTGGGAGATGGATGCTCAATAAATGTATGGACAGACCCTTGGTTAGCAGATTCCCAATCACCCTTCATCAAGACTGCCATGCCAGCCTACCTCAGCGATGCAAAAGTTTCGTCCCTTATGACCGTCAATGGCACCGGTTGGGATGAAGAACTAATTGATGATATTTTCAATGAGGAAGACAGAGACAATATTATGAACATCCCCCTACCGGTTTCTGGCCACCATGATAAGCTGATCTGGTGCAAGGAAGAGAAAGGTATTTTTTCAGTTAAGAGTTGTTATAGGGCATTAAAGCTGATCTAGCATATGGAAGCTATCTCTGCCACCTAAAGTAAAAATTCTTGTATGGCAGGCCTGTGAGAACGTTCTTCCTACAACTGATAACTTACGTAGCAGAAGGGTGGATTGCTCTCTGATTTGTTGCCTTTGCAGCCAGGATGTGGAGACTACGGATCAAGTGTTCATGCATTGTGGAGTGGCTAGAGCTTGCTGGAACAGTTTTTCAGGAGTTGCTGATCCTAATGATGGTCATTTTGATACATGGGTGTGCAAGAAGATGGACCAGCTGAGTACATATGATTTGTGTTTGTTTTTGACAACTTGTTGGATGCTGTGGAACGCAAGAAACCAGAAGCTATGGCATAACATCCAAGCTAATCACAGTGCTATTCTCAGAGATGCTAGATCTTATCTCAATGCTTGGAAAGGGATCCACTGTAAGGCAGCAACCACCTCAGTACCCATGCACCACCCCACCTGGACGAAACCACCTGAAGGTATTCTTAAGCTCAACGTTGACGCAGCCATGGACACTAACTCAAGAGCTACAGGCTTTGGTTTTATTCTTAGGGACTCCGATGGTTGCTTTGTGGCGGCTAGGGATACACGTTGGAAAGGTTTCTATCAACCACGAATGGCAGAGGCTATTGGCATTAGAGAGGCTCTAAATTGGATAAAGTCCTTGGGAATTTGTATGGTTCAGGTGGAGTTTGATGCTCTCATAGTTATTGAAAATATTACAACTCCAGCAAACTGGACCTCTTTTGACCTCATCTATCCTTGAGGATATTAGACAACTAGCTAAAAACTTTATGAATGTTAGCTTTATTTTTGTGAAACGTTCTGCGAATAGAGCAGCCCATAAACTTGCTAGGGAAGCTGTATTCTCGGCTGAGCATAGAGAATGGAGGCTGATTCCTCCTCCTTTCCTTTGTGATGTTTTAAGTGATGATTTGAATTAATGAAGTTATTTGTTTGTTTTCAAAAAACAAAAAAAAAGTTAATGGATTGGACTAGTTTGAGTATTATTTTTTTTAAAAAAGATACTAGTTTGACTAAATATTGGTCGTGGATTGGCATTCTTCGTCCTCGAAATTTTCTGCAAGGACGAGGATGGTGACAGATTTTCTATCCTCGACGGGAATTGGAACAGGGATGGGACCAAGTGGGGTTTCGAGGACTGGGGTGAGGAGTATACTCCCCGCCTCCTTCTAGACATGTAATTGGTCGTGGATTGGCATTCTTCGTCCTCGAAATTTTCTGCAAGGACGAGGATGGTGACAGATTTTCTATCCTCGACGGGAATTAGAACAGGGACGGGACCAAGTGGGGTTTCGAGGACTGGGGTGAGGAGTATACTCCCCGCCTCCTTCTAGTCATTCCTAGTTTGGAGTATATGTAGTATTTTTTACATAAAAAGAAATTACAAAAAAGAAAAAAAAATACATAAAAAATGTACATGTGAGATTAATGGGTATATATATATATATATATATATATATATATATATATATATATATATATATATATTTTGAATGCTACTCACTCTATTACATTGTAGTATTTGTTTAAATATACTTTCTCAACCTAATTAAACACAAAGAGTCAACAACGCCTTCATTGAAATTCGATCTCATGACCTCCCACATGAGAGAGGTCGAACTCTTATTCGTTTAAAAAATACTGCGTAACTCATTTCCCGAATATCATTTTACAAAAAAAAAAAAAAAGGATTTCTGAAGTGATTCTAAAAACTATTTACTCTAATAATGAAGCATGTAAAAGTTAAGGTAAAAAATGATGAAAGAAGGCTATAACCACGATCGGATACATCATCATTATCTTCCGATCCGGCCTATACTAGCTCCTATCAGGCCAGGTGGCATTTGATCGTCTCCACTTCAATTTACAGTACGTACAGATGTTAAGGTAAGAATAACACACACGTCAACCAACCCCGCACTTCACTAAACTACCTACCTAACTTCTTCATATATTCTTCCAATATAATATAATGCATATATGTTTCAACAATGCAAATTAAACGAATGCCTCTAAGTAGCAATCGATACCTACGGTTCTCCATACTTGAGACTACGTTCTGAAGCTAAAACCAAAAATGAAAGATATAAAGAATAACTCATCAACTAATGCTACCATCAAAGGCAGCAGCAGCAGAGCTAATAATAAAAGAAGCATAGCCGCAGTAAGCAGTCGGTTTTCCCTTGGTGAAACACCCAAGAAACCCACAACCCTTTCATCTAAATCCCCTCCCCACCACCAGGAGAAGATTGAAGAAGAAGAAGAAGAATCCAAGGATGGGGTTTCAAAGGGTGTTATGAGTGGGAAAGGGAATGGAAAAGGTTCCATTTCTGTGACTCTAACCGACCCGGATTTGTTGGATTGCCCCATCTGCTTCATGTCGCTTACCATCCCCCTCTTTCAGGTCTCTCTCTCTTTATATTTGTTTATGCATTTCTATACATACATTTTGCTCATATTTTGTTTTGTTTTGGTTGAGAAATTAAATATAATGACAATGCATGTATGTAGTGTGAGAATGGGCACATTGCATGTGCATCTTGCTGCACTAAACTTATGAACAAATACCCATCTTAATTGCTCTTCCGTCCGCAATTGGATTCAACGTAACCGCTGTGGAGCTCTTGAGAAGATTGTGGAGTCAGTGAAGGTCCCATGCCCAAATAACACCTGCGCCTGCAACCACTCTATCATATACAACAAGCTTAGACACCATGCATCCACACTCCTTGCTCATG